GATACACCTAACTATATCTATATATAGTATTATATATTGTGTACTCGTTCATATATACTTGTATCGCAAGAACTGACTATACATTAGCACGGATATGCAATGCATGAGCTGCTGCTTGCTGTCTTGTGGCCGCGAGCGGATTGGGGCTGCCGAAGAGAACTCGAAAGGGAAATGCAATCGACAAATCTCTGCAGAGAGTTAAAATAAAAATAAAATTGAATTTTGTTGGATTCTTTATCATTATTTGTTTTAATTCTTTATTGTGCTGGTGCTTCCTTCGTTGTTACCCTTGCAGCGTCGCCTATTGAAATGCATATTCCGTTCTACTTCTGTGGCCTTCGGCCACTACCTTCCCGCGTTGAAAATTAGGATTTTTGTTTTCTCATTTCTTCATTTTAAAGCACCATAGACTCCCTGGGTTCTGTCTTTTGCTTCTCTATCCCGCGGATTTGATCTGTTTTGCCCAATACCCCCAGCTACTCCGGAGCGAGATATATAGTATACTCACAGCGAACCGAAAATGTCGTATATGCTGCAGCATCTCCACTCTGGGTGGCAAGTGGTATGTTGTTTGTTCGCTTTCTTTGACTATTAGCACCTTTACTCCTTCACAGCCTCATGAGCTGACTGACCCGCTCCCTCCCCTGCAGTGCTCGGCAACGTGGAGCTCATTGTCGTTTCCCTGTTTAATCATTCCCCTGGTTTCGCTTCTTGNCTGCAGTGCTCGGCAACGTGGAGCTCATTGTCGTTTCCCTGTTTAATCATTCCCCTGGTTTCGCTTCTTGTTGGCACTTTCCTTTGAACATATTTCATGTAGTTCTGCTTATTTGCTTCTGGTTTGCTTCGTTCGCAGGACCAGGCCATCCTCACAGAGGAAGAACGGCTGGTGGTGCGTCCGCCTGCAGCTGAGCACTCACTACCTTTTGATTTATTTCTCTTTGTCGTTTGTTGTTGTATGTTTTTGTTTATTGTTGTTCGTTATTGCTCGCTGTCCGTCGCCTGCTGCCTGTTTGTTATTTGTTGTTTCTCGTCGTTTGCTTATCGGTTGTTTGCTGTCCGTCGTTTGTTGTTGTATTTGTTTGTTGTTGTTTGTTGTTGTTTGTTGTTTGCTGCTGTTGTTTGTTGCTTGCTGTTGCTTTCTGTC